TCTCCATATCTTTATTCTCCTCAAGATTAAGTAAGTAGAACCATATATATAGGAGGCAAACAAAATCGTAGCAACATAAAAAATCCTATCTAACAGCTAAAATTCAAATAATACATTCTAACAAAATAACAAATTCACTCCTAGTTAAATAACAAATTTAATATCCTAATCCTAACTAAAATTAAAAGCCTAACAAATTTCCTGATCTCAAGTGCAATATTTTGATAATGTCTTGTCGTGCATCAAAGATCTTTATCAGAACCAAGGACTTTGAAACAAGTTTCTTTTAGTCATGAGAATCAGCACTCTGTTATGTACGCTGTCCCTGTAAAAAGTCTCAGAATGCCCAGTTAGCTAAAAAGACCAGTAATTGTTTCACTTCAGCCAAGAAGATATAGTGAAAAGCCCCGAAAATTTTTAAAAACATGAAGTCTTTTATCCACTTAATCCGCTTTTTTGTTGGCTTTAATGGGATAAGAAGGTCCAAGTGTGGTCATTGATGCACTTATTTTGCTTGACTGAACTTGATTAAAACAAATTTTGGTTTCTCAAAGGTGTATTCATCGATTTACTACATTTACGGTCTTAGTGATAATGGAAAACTATGTTGATTAGAAGGATCTTCTGACAACAAAAGTATCATGAGTCTTTACAAGCTTATTTCTAAATATTTAGTAATTTTCATGTAAAATTCTCTCCTGTCTAGTTACCAATTTCTTGATTTTTTATATTATATTATTTCTTGATTCTTCTATTGAATATTCATTTTTAGTTTTAGTCTTTTAAAAATTGTAAAACGATTTATTGTATCTCAATAATAAAGTGTGCCCTAGTTGGATATAAAGTGACAGCTCTACAAATGTGAGTAGTATTGGACATATTATATCTCCAGTTAATAGGTAGTCTCGGTTTTATTCTTTCTTCAAATAAGAACACGTTTTCTTGTGAATTCTATTGGAATTCCAGTTGTCCCCAGATCTGCTCAATATGTAGATGGTGTCATTTACTGCTGCACACGTTTGATGATGGAATAATGTTATTTTGCAGGTCTTGCCATCCTTAGATGTATCATTCGTGATCACTCCTTGTCCGTTGAGGGTACAAGATTTTATTGTTCGCATGGATATTGTGAACAGGACAAGTTCAGAGAGTTTCAGTCTTCAGCAGTTGTCTTGTGTTGGTGACCAATGGGAGATTACATCCTTACCCACATATGATTTTATCTGTCCTTCACAAGTACTAGTTGCAGGCCAGGCATTATCATGCTTTTTCAAGCTTAAGGTTTGTGTAGATTTATTGTATTACTAACTGATATAATGCCTGCATAAAAACATAAACAAACACGTGAATTTCTTGACTCGGTGTATGTTGTATTATCTACTACCTTATTGGTTCTTTTGATCACTATGTCATGACCTCTTGCATTTGCTAGAATATAGTTCTGATTTTCTTCTCTCTGTTCACACTTATTTTAGGTGTCTCTTTCAATTGAAAGCTTGACAAATTTATTTGTTTCAGGACTGTAGGACAATTTCTGATGGTGAAGGGGAGCTCACTGTTCAAGGAAGTGATCTATTGTTATGTTCTCAGGGAAGCAGTGAGACAATAGTTGACATTTCTAACTCACCTTTGGCTAGATTTCATCAGCAAGAAAGACATAACCAGGGCAATTCAATTGAGGTCAATAAGATCTTCCTTTCATTTTATTGATTATTTTCATTATTTCATGATTATGGCATTTTTCTTCTGTAAAATAATTTCCCATTTTCATTTGTTGATTCTCATGGAATTTAACTCAGTACTCCTAGATAGTCTCACTCTTTCTTATGTTGATTCTCTGGATTGCCTGCCCCTGTTTTATTTTCTTCTTTGTTCTTTGTTTCTCTTTTACTCGTCTCATAAACAGAAGCTTGGAAATTATTGTTTCTGCATACTATCTTATATATTATTTGTGTCTCAGGGAAGTCAAGGCAGTGTTGACTTCATCCTGATCTCAAAGGTGCAAGGAGATTATTTTAACCCTGATCTAGGGCCTCCCTCGAAGCTTTTATGTGGTCACATTTGCCATTGCAGGCAAGATTCAGAAGCTATATAAGCGCTGTTGTGATGATAACTTGTTGGTTAATTGTAGCTACATCCCTGATACTGTAAGGGTATAGCCATTTATACACCATAGTAGTTCATTAGATCCCTTGAACTCCAGGAAACGTTATTTCACAAGTTAGGTTGAGATGTTATGTGACCAAGTACCTATTATTAACACAGTTAACTGAAAAATTTTCTAAATTTTCCTCTAAATTTAGAGCAAAAAAGTTAACAACGCCTGAGGTTCAGGGGTGCAACTAGTAATAAAATAGTTATAAATGGCTATACCACTATTGTGAAGGGGTATATGTGCAATTAACCCTATTATAAAACTAAAGTTTTTTATGAGAATTATGTTTCATTTTCCCCCCCTGCATTTTCAGTATCAGCAGCAAAATCCCTATATTATGGCTTGTGGATGGACCTCGGACAATAAGTCATGATTTTTCAAGCTCTTTTTGTGAGGTTACTCTTGTTATGAAGATCCGCAATCGCTCCAAAGCTTTTGTATCTGTTAAAATCACTACATTTGATGGCATTCCAAGTGATATATTTCAAGTATTGGACTCGACAGAAAATCAAGGAGGATGGCAAGATGTTCCGTTAGCAAATGAACTGAAGTCAATTTCCCATGTACAAGGGCTTCAACCCATTAAACTAAAATCGCAGAGCATTTGTCCCTTTGTTTGGTGTGCATCAAGCTCAACACAGTTGAAGCTTGAACCAGAGAGCTCAAAAGAAGTTCCTCTCCGGATCTGTGTTTTTTCACCAGGAACCTTCGATTTATCAAATTACGAGATGCACTGGAAACTTCAACAAATTGATGGAGATCTTACGGACGATGGAAAGAGAACTTCGTCAGGGATGAGCAGAGGTCATCCTTTCTATCTTACTGCTCTTCAATCTGCTCTCGTGGCCTTAGAGTGAAGCATATGGTGATTTCTACGTAAATTTATGTTTTGAAGGGCGAAGAAAAATTTTCAATGCAGATTTCAGCTTTTGCTTTTTGTTGTATTCTACTCTCTTCTTATTAAGAATGCAAGTTAAAGGTTTAGGTGCATTATATTCATATGTATTCAGTCGGATATGTGTATCCATTAAATATATATATCGGTCATTTTGATGTGATAAGTAGGATTGAGTCTTACCATATGGTTATCTCTTGGTAGATTATTTAATAAAATGAGCTGTCACTTCATTCTGTAGTGCCCGATTGAAGACTCCCCAAAAACTAAAAATCATTCTAACTTTAATTATAATACTTTATTTATCAAGATTCTTATCTGTACACTTCTCAAAAATTCGTCCAGATTTTATAGATTACTTTGAATAAATATGCAATCCACGAATACAAAATTATCAGGATTATATATGTTTTAAATAATTGTAACACTATTTAAATCCTAATAAAATCTAATTATGAATATTATCCTATCACATGCATTACCTCATGCCTATATATACACCAATAAATTACACAATTTTTATAGTAACTTCATCTCCTTCAACATGTATGTTTCTTTTTATATTTTCATAATTATTCTTTAGAAATATTGTGTATTTGATTTAATGGTGATACTTGTTTTACACTGCAATTACTTTTTATGGCAATTGATATTTTTTAAAATTTCTTCAATTTTCATGCAGAATTTAGAGGATTAAAGATTTGATTGTTGCGGGATCTCCCATCTATCAAGGTAAGTCTCTTTTTTTTTAAAATTGTTTACCTTTTTTTCTTTGCATGCGTTTATTTAGTTTCTATTTTTAGTCTCTTTTATATTTTTTTTGTCAATTCTACATCCCTCGCAAGTTCTTCTTCGGATATTCCACTACATATCCATATATGTAATCATATCTATGGATATTGATATTTAGTAACAATGTCTATATTCCAACAAGAACCAAATTCTGTACCAGCGTCAACGAAATTGGGGAGGTGAAGGATGAAGCACTACATTAAAAGGACATTTTTTTATGTAAACATAATTAATTTAATAATTACAAAACGAGATCCCCAGAAAGATAATTACAAAAAGGATTATTTAGATATTAGTCCCCAAGTCTTCAATAATTATTAGTCCCTCACATCCTTGAAATTGCTCACACGTCCTTCAAGTGCTAGGTGCATGTTCGTACAATTTGATCCCCAATGATCAAAATATCCTCAGTTCATGCTTCTCCCAAAACCCCCTTTATGTTCAAAAAGCATTAGCTAAGGATTTAAGGGACTTCTGAGCAATTTCAGGGATTTGAAACATCCTTTTACTTCTCGCTATAAAACACAATTTTACTATCTCTCTATCGCTAAAGATAAGAACAGCTCTGATCAAATTTCACAAATTATTCCATGCTCAAATTACATTACAAATTTTCAACTACAAAAAGGACAGCAAGTGCTGATGATTTGGAGCGGTCTGTCACTATACTAAATGTGTATTATTTTCGGAAAATTTCACTTACTCATGATGCCTATACCAATACACTACACACCCTTACATTACATGATTTATTAAACAAATTAATACTTGTTACACATATACAATAAAATATGATTCTCATCTCACAAGGTCTCTGACTTTTTCCTCGCCAAGAACATCACAAGCCGAGGAAAGAACGACTTCTTCTTCCTCCTCCTCACCTTCGCCTCTGCCACTTTTCTTTCTCATTTGTCCTCCATTGTGTACACCTTTGCATTAGGTCCAGGATGAACGATATCAGCGTCGATTAAACTCTTTGGTTCACTCTCGAAACTTCTAGCTGGGCTTTTTGGAGGCAAATTACTATTTTGAGCAGCATATATATTTATATTACTTGCTCTCCTCCTCTGCTCGTGCTCAGCTCTCCACCTCCTTAGTTCTTTCTCAACACCCAATTTCCCTTCTTTAGCTTTCTCCAGTGCAATTCTTAAAGCTTCCTTCTCCTGATTCATCTCCATTAAGCCTCCTCTAGCTTTTGTACAGTTTTCAACTCCGACTCCTTTGCCACATTAATTTGTGAAATTGCATCAGTAACCCTCTCATTTGCGAGCTCCTCGGCCTCATGAGCTCTCTTGCTAAGACTGTAATACTCCTCCAATGGAAGTGTTACTCCATCACTCAACTCCTCCCCCTCGCTCTCATGCAAAGCTTTTATCGTTTGAAGAGCCAGCCTCTCCGATGCTTTCGCTGCCTCAGTCTCTTTGAGAGCTGCATTCAATCTTATTTCTGTTGTGCTTGTTGTTATTTTGATTTGCTCCAACTCTTCCTTGGCTTTTCTTAGATCGTCACGTGCTGATTGAGCATCGGTTTTAGTTTTGATTTGCTCCAACTCTTCCTTGGCTTTTCTTAGATCGTCACGTGCTGATTGAGCATCGGTTTTAGCTATGTCAGCTTCTTGTGCAGCTTCTTGAAGTAGCTTTGGAAGCTCCACCATTTTTGCTCGTGCTTCCTTCGTGTTTTCGAGTTCATTCTTTGTAATGACCGTCTCTATATATCAGAACATGCAGACTTAAGGAAATGTTAAATGATTATTTTTTCTCTTTTAAGTAATTCTTTCTGCCTTCAGAAATCGCAAAGAAAAAAAAAAATCACATTGTTGAAAACAAAAGGAAGAAATATTTTAATATTTGATAAGCTAAAACTCATTGAACATGCGAATTCATAAACACAACAAGATATGTCCAACTTTCCTTCATACAGTAACATTCTCAGATAACAGAAGGACATAAATCAAATAAAATCACTGTATGAAGGAAAGTAAAAATAATGGCCAGTTACAAAACCAAGAGCGAACATAAAATTTTCTTATAATTTAACCACTAATTTTTTTATTTTAATTGTGACAATGATTATAGTTGATCATTTACTATTGAAATTTTATTAATAGTAAACTTCAATATAAGCTCTTCTTAATTTAACCACTATTTTTTTTTTTTAATTGTGATAATGATTATAGTTGATCATTTACTATTAAAATTATATGAAAATTTACGGTAATTTGTCTAACTATCTGCATTGCTCATATTTTGTATATTTTATTAAAATTATTTATTAAATTGTTAAGCTATAAATAGTTCATATAGGATAAGGATAGGATATAATTTTAATATTGTTTTCTTAGTTTCTGACACATATTTTTTTTACCTACAGGATAATATCATCTCAATTCCAATTTCATATTCAAGATTTATTCCATAATTACGAGTATCAGGTTAGTAAAGAATATCAATAATTTTTATATTTTAATTGTAATTATGAATTATGATTATAGTTGATCGTTTACTATTGAATTTTTATGAAAATTTATGCTAATTTGTTTAACTATCTGCATTCCTCATATGTTTTCATAAATTAATGGTCATATGACATATTATTTTCTTTTGTAGAAATTTATTCTCTGATTTTTGGATAACATAACTACTATACAACACTTTCTCGCCTAAAATAACTTCAAGCCAAGGTTTGCATTAAACTCAATAATAAATTATTCATATATATATATATATATTTATATATATATAGTTTTAAGGTATTATCGTATACTTATAATATATATATATATATTATATATATAGGTATATATATTAATTATATAGTAGTGATATATATATAGTACTATATGAGGAGCACTTATGTCAACTTAAGTTGACGAAGAGCCTTTGTCCACCAGAAGACTTTATCTCACTCGATTATATATATAAGTATTAGTATATATAATTATAGTATATATATTATATAGTATATATATATATATATATATAATATATATAGTATATATATATATATAGGATATATATATAAGTTCACTTATTCAATGGCAAGGATCCTAGGGAAATATGCTAGTGGTTAAGAAGTTTGGGTGGAGCGGTGTCAACTTAAGTGGTGACATAAGTTTTTCTCATATATATATATATAATATAGTATATATATATAGCTATATATAAAAGACATATCGAACTATTTTTTAAACAGAAGAGAACACTTCAATCTCCAGAATTAAAAAATCAAATATTATTGGTTGAGTGATGAGCAGAAGAAAGATTACATTCAAAGAAGTGTGGATAATAAGAGAAAGTGACAAAGTAATGACTCAGCTGGTAATATTGTTAATGGCAAACGACAACGTAAAGTTGATCTATTTTGTGGAGCCCTGCTATTGCCCTTTGAGCATGAAGGTTGGTGTAGATATACTTTATAGTTTATTTAAAAGGGTGATATAACATTATATATTAGTTTATTAAATATTTATATTTGTGCTAGGGCAAATTCTTCATGAACCGGTATGTTCTTCACTATATAAGCTATGCACTCCAAAGTCTTGTGCATACACGAGACTCCAACATTTTATTGTCACAACGGTGAAATCCACCTAGCAGATGTCAATATTCCTAATGAATTATATGACCTTTATACAATGCAATCACCAGAGGCAATTGAGTTTTGACGCCACACTAGAATGTACAACAATATTTTCTCATTCACATCGTTTGGGGCAAGATTCAATAAAGAGCTCGCATCAAATAGAAAAGGAGTTTTCATATTTAGAGCACAGGGCCAAATATATCATAATCTCTCTGCTCTAATTCCAAAGGAAAATAAGCCTTCATACTTTCAGCTTTACTGGCCAAATATATCATAATCTCTCTGCTCTAATTCCAAAGGAAAATAAGCCTTCATACTTTCAGCTTTACTTCTATGATACAGAGAATGAGTTATTCCAAAGGAAAATAAGCCTTCATACTTTCAGCTTTACTTCTATGATACAGAGAATGAGTTGAAAAATCGTTTGGGAATAATAGACAATGCAAATATTAGTGAAATCACAACTAAGAGCTTGATGGATATGTTGCAAGGAAACCCATATTCAAAGTTCCTTCGCAAATTGAATGATTATCAATCTTTTGAAGAATTTAAGATACTAATAAATAGTAACGTTGCACTAGATCAACATGTTTACAACTCACCAATAGCAGATCGGGTGGCTGCAATCTGGGTTGAATGAAATAATGACAATGCACCATTTGAAAGAGAGATAGTTGTTCATGCACACTCAGGAGGAAGACATCAAGTGAAACCCATATTCTGGCGTAGCAGCTGTAATAATGCCTGGGGGCCGAACAACATATTCCAGATTTAAGATAAAAATCCCAACAACAGAATCATCTATGTGTAACATATCTAAACAAGATGGAACCTCAAAACTGATTAAGATAGCTAGATTAATAATTTGGGATGAAGCTCCAATGGCTAAAAGCGTTGCAATTGAAACATTAGATAGAACATTAAGGGATATAATGGATCGGTAATTTCATTAAAACCCCAACAACTTTCAGAATGACTTTTTATGTTGTTTTTCTGTTTACATATAACTAATTAAAATATAATATATAGCTTACTATTAATTAATTATATTTTTTATGCATTGATCTCTTGTCTTAATAATATTTGCAGGGTAACAAAATACAAGGAGTAATGTACGGAGAGACTATCGAAAAATTTATAGATATGCTTCAAAAAAATTAAATTATTTTCATTTCAAATGGAGAAATGAAAGGAATAAACCCAGCTTTTCTAAGTATCCATAAGTCACTTGAATTAGTATTAACAAAAGACGAATCGATCAAAGAAGCACCAACATGATTCCACTTGGATAACATATTTAACAACTTTGTCCCATTTGAAGAAGCATTTTCCATGAAAGATGCAATAAAAATTAGTAAGTACTTATAAATTTCTTACTTTAATCTTCAATAAAAAATAAGACATTAATCTACAAAATCATAATCTTTTTATCAAATTAATTGCTGATATTCTTGCAATAACAACTAATGTGAAGCCGACAATCAACTATATTACAAGACACAACAAACCAGACACTAGGAGGGGAATCACGCTTATGGATATAAGGTATATTCATGTTACTTATTTCCAATATCATAAGAAAAAAAAGATTATCGTTCTTTCTTTTTTCATATGCAGTGGAATGCCAATTTGTGTAACTTTATTTGGAGATTTGGCTACAAATGAAGGATCAATTCTTGAAGTAGAAATCAAATATAAGCCTGTAATAGCATTATCATATTTTAAAATCTCTATATATCAAGGTACATAAATTATTGTTGAAATTCTTATTAAAGATAGCTAAACATAAAATAAATCCTATAATTTTCTCATTTTTGCAGGGGATACAAGCATATCGTCGCAAATTATTTTAATATTATGTATCAATCCAAAAATAGAACTAGCTATCGAATTAAGGGAATGGTAAATAGAACAAACATACTTTCATATAACCCAATAATGAAGTAGTATTATATTTTAATCTAATATGCAGGTTCTAATTGGAAGAAGCTGCAAAAGCAAAAGGATCTCCATCGACGCTTTTTAAAAATGCCAAGGACATTCATATTAGTGATATTATGCATACGTCAAAGAATTCGATACAGGTACAATATTATATACATATTCTTATCTACAAATTTAAATCTAACTAAACTTTGTTAATATACAGGCATAATATTGCACATTTAAGACAAAGATAACTACTATTTTAAATAGGCTCGAGCCATGGTTCTATGCTTGCAAAGGCTGTGACAAGAAGGTTGATAAAGATGTTAGTAAAGAGTGTCTGGATGACAAATGTCGCAGAATCATTGTTGACCCAGTACAAATGTTAAGTAATATATCTTTTTTTATGACATGAACATATTAAAATACAATACTAATTGTCTTTAGAAATTAACAATAAAAAATACAGGTACTTAGTTAAGATTCTCGTGAAAAATGACACTGATAATGCAAGAGTAACACTCTTTGACGCAGCAGAAACTCTTATTGGATGCAAAGCAGACACTACAAGAAATTACATCTTTAACGAAGGGATTTCCCTTCGTTAAAGAGCTAAAAACCTTCGTTATTGTATGCTAACGACGGGGAAAAATCCCTTCGTCACCCGTCGTTGAAGCCCTCTTCGCTAAAGGGTCACGAAGGGATATACTACCCGTCGTTATAGAGTCTATAACGACGGAACATATTAGCGTCATTAATATTTACGACTGTAATTATCACCGTCGTTACCATTAGTAACTGGGATATTTTCCCGTCGTTACCATCAGTGACGGGATATTTTCCCGTCGTTACCATCAGTGACGGGATATTTTCCCGTCGTTACCATTAGTTACGGGGATATTTTCCCGTCGTTGAAGACTAATTAATGACGGTTGGATACCGTCGTAAAAATCCTCATAATGGGTAATTAATAACCCATCAATGACGGTGCTTTCCCTTTGTTGATGAACCAAATACGGTTTATAAAACCGTCATTGTAGACTACAAATTTCTAATATACATCAATAATAATTTTTTCATTCATAGGCAACTATCATATTATTCTCAACCAGACACTAAGATTCACAACAAAAACATATTAAAAATACCCAATAATGAATAAGAGGTAAAATAAAAATTCCATTCATTAATAACATCAATAAATAAAATTCCACCATCCTCAAATATTCAATACTAATAATAAGAGTTAATATTCTAATTGTTCCAAAGGAAAATACATGAAACTATCTAAAACAAATTAAAATAAAAGTTTAGGGAAGACACATCTCTGACACCTCTAATCTTCGTCAAAAGAAGACTCGAGCTACTCCCTCCTAATCTTGCATGGATAGCCTGAATTTTTTTTAAAAAATCACATAATTAAGAAATATCAATTAAGCAAATATTATCTTATTAAGTAAAAAATCACATTTTTTAGTGCAAGTAGTCAATCATAAAAGTATATAAGAAATTTTACAAAAAATAATTACCTAGTCCTGCACACGTTCTCGAGTTTGAGTAGTCAACGAAGATGATTGCCTAAAAAAAAGTTCTTGCATAGCTTTCACTTGTGACTCCAACTCAGACATCCTTTGTTGTTGTTGCTCCTGCTCATCTAAGCGTTGTTGAAGCATCTGGTTCTTTTTCTTTTCTTCTATAACCCGTGCTTCCAAATCAGATTGACTAGGGAGCGGTCCTCTCAAATCTTTTAAAGTAGTCCCGCCACCAAATACAGTGATGTGACCATGAGATTGCTTCCCCCAGATTTTCTCAACTATCTCAATGTCAGAAAGTGAAGGGTTTGCTTGTTTGACTTGAACAATTTCATCCTATAAAAATTAAATCCATATGTTAGCACTATATAATACATCATTATCAAACTTAAACACATATTCTACTTACATATTTATCTTGATCCCCATTTTCTATTTATCTTGATCCCCAATATCTAGTGTTTCATTAGCTTTCTTTCGAGTTTCATGAAACATTTGTGCCACATCAGGTGGATTTCCTGACTTGCCACCCTTATTCAAATATTAAATAAAATGAGTAACAATTCAAACTAAAAAACAAAGTAGTTTTAAATAAATAGGAAATTAGTTACCAATTCCCACGCAATTTGTCTGAAGGGTTTGCTGCCCGTGTGGTGGAGCATCTTTCTTTTGCCTCTGTTAAGTGTATTTTGTTGGCTTGCTTTCTATACATCAAGATTAAAAGATAATTTTAACAATCCAACAATATACATGGAACAAAATTAATAAAATTAGGAGATTAATACCTGAAATTTTGAAGAAAAATAATGTTCCTTAACTAGCCAATCCCAGTCATCAACACTCACTTCTGTAGGTTTATTTCTAAGTGCAACTTGCAATGAATTTTCTTTCACATATTTCCTGTGCATGTCACCACGCCACTTATTCCACAAATCGCGCAAGTGTCTCATTACTAACTCTCTCTTTTGCTCCATGTCCTCAGCATCAAATTTATCCTATATCAAATTTGAATCAAAATTTAATTTATAAGAATTAAAAACCAATTGCAAAAAATTAATTTTCAATGTACCTTAATGGATGCCCACATATGATCTTTATTTTGTTGTGGTATTTTGGCCTAATTCTCAACAGCTACTGGGCAAATATTTCTATCACGAATAATAATTCCAAGATATCGTGAAAATTCTGGCTCAATAGCTCTATTCTGATAAAAAGTAATGATCTTTTTCTCCCCATGTGACAAATTATTCAACTTTAGACACTTATTATTACCACGAGGTGGATTTTTCTTCTTATGAGAATTATCAGCTGCATACATCATATCATATGTTAGAAACAAGATATAGGTAAAAAGAAATTGATAAAAATATTACTTCTTGTAATTAATAAAGAATATACCTTCTTGTCGAGATTCATTTAGTATTACATCATCACTTTGCACTCGATGATTATTTGATTCTGCAAAAAATTGGGCAATTATTAATCCAATCATAAAAAATAAATTGAAAGATAAAAAAGAAATAATAATAAATTTTAAGTCTCATCAACCTGCAGAATCATCATTCTCTTCATTGTTAGTATTTGCACTTCTCCTGCGATTTTGTGCAAAATTCTCCTCTTCAAAGTTTTCTAAATCAGCACTAAAATTTGTACCCATATTTTGATCTTGTATTGGATTTTGAATATTCAAGTTCTTGTCATGACAAGTACGGAGTTGTTCCCTTCTTAATGAATTTTCTGCAAGTGCTTGAAGTCGCTTCCTAATTAATGACCTGGGTGCTAGAAATTGTGCCCTTTTGCTTTTGGAAGTGACTTCTTGAGTTTTCATTTTCCTGCTATGAAAAGGAATTTAAGTATTACACACTATGTATGAAACAAATATCAAAAGAGAAATGAATAAAAGAAGAAGATATCACGAAGGACAAGCATAACAATAAATACATAATACACTAATGTAGAAGCACTTGCTGCAATGTCAAAGCCACATCCAAAATATGAAGAAAAGAACATCATATGTCTAAAAAAGGAATAGTTATAGTGAAGATACAACTTAAATTTTATCTCAATAACACAATATCATTTGTGTTCTATTCTTTAATTAAAGCGTTCTAATTCTCTGCTTGAGTCTTTTTCCTCTTTTTTGAAGTTGAGACCGAATTTACAATAATTGGATCAATATCACTCCTTCTCAAATTGATATAATCATCTTCCAATGATGTTGATGCAATAGCCTGAGCATCAAATGATTCATCTTGCAAATAAGCTTCAACTCCATCGTCTGTTATCCCACAATCATCTGTATCTGGTGGCATATCATAGGAATCACGGGGTTGTGCTTTAAGAACTACATGCCAACCTTCATTGGCAATATCCTCAACATAAAAAACTTGTGATGCTTGGCCAGCAAGTATAAAGTGGTCATTCGTCTTTAGCAAGTGTCGGCAGTTAATACTGATAAATCCATATTTGTCTTCTTTCAAAGCGGTCCCTTTTCCTTTGCCGTGCACATCCCACCATTTACAACGAAATAGAACAACCTTTCTTCTACCAGGATACTCTAATTCGACAACTTCAACCAAAGCACCATAATAATCTATATCTCCACCATCACCAGCATCACCAACAACTGCAACCCCACTACTTTGAGTTGACAAACAATTATCTCGACTTTCTGTATGAAATCGATGTCCATTTATGACAAATCCAGTAAAACATTTAACAATCTTACTTGGACCACGAGATAGTGAAAGTAAGTCATCATCTTCTCGATAACTCTGATAAACCTAAACAAAACCAAAATATGATCAAGTCATGGAACATGTAATAAAATGAACCAATCAAGATATTTAAAAAATAAGGCAAGATATATACGTACTAGAGCTTGGAACCACTCGATAAAGTTCTTATCCCAATCTTTATCATCATAGTGATTTGTGGGTTCTCTCACGAATTCATTGTAGTCCCTACATTAAAATATCATAAATATGATTAACGTTGACTAACTATAGTAAATTTATTAGTAGAATCTTAAACTTTAGTGACTTACTCAATGTGTGGTTGCACTTCATCACAGTTCTTTAGAACATAAATATGAGCTTGCAACCACTCACGTTCATCAAGGTAGCGGGTGGTGGCAGCACCCAATGCCCGCCCACTATGTCTGAAAATAGATAGTTGTGCTTCATTACATTCTCTATTGTCATCTTCATAATTTCTTTCAAGGCGATTAAACTTTGTCTCGAAGCCTTTTAGATATCTTGAGCAAAAAGTCATGCATTCATCTGCTATATATCCTTCAGCAATTGACCCTTCTGGACGTGCCCTATTTCTGATATATGACTTATAAGTATAAAGCTGACGCTCCACTGGGTACATCCATCGAAATCGAACAGGCCCTCCAAGTATGGCTTCAGATGCTAAATGAACTACTAAATGCAGCATAACATCAAAAATTGAAGGTGGAAAAATCTTCTCAAGCTTACATAACGTAAGTGGAATCTGCTCATCAATTTGCTTAAGTTCATCCACCCTTAATGTCTTGGCACATAATATAGTGAAGAATATGGAAAGTTCAATAATTGCTTCACACACTTTTGCATGAAGAAGGCCACGAATCGATACAGGAATCAAGCGCTGCAAAAGAACGTGACAGTCATGACTCTTTAACCCCAAAATCTTACGCTCTTTAAGATTTACACATTGAGAAATATTGGATGAAAATCCATCTGGAACTTTTAACTCCTTTAGAAATCGACAAAATTTGCTTTGCTCTTCTTGGGATAAAGTATAACAAGCTGCTGGCATCACAAGTTTATCTCCTCTCTGGATTGGATGTAACTCCGGTTTTAAACTCATTGCTTGTAAATCGAGACGGGCTTTGATATTATCCTTTGTCTTTCCTTTAATGTTCATGATTGTTCCCAGCAGACTATCACAAATATTCTTCTCAATATGCATGACATCTAAATTATGTCGCAATAAGAGAGTTCTCCAATATGGCAAATCAAAAAAAATACTTTTTTTATTCCAATTATCTCCCCGTCTTTCGTGTGATATTTTAATTTTCTTCTCTGGATGATTGGTCAAGGTGATCCCTATAAGATCTTCCACCTGCTTAAGGATGTCATCTCCGGTCAGCTTCGGCGCTGCATACCCTCTCTCCCTAGTGCCATCAAATGATTTCTTATCCTTTCTCCAACTGTGATTTTCATCAAGATAGCGACGATGCCCCATATAGCTCTGCTTGCCTCCATATTTTAACCTGATAGAGTGAGTGTGCTTATTACAACAAGGACATGCTAATTTCCCCTTAGTGCTCCATCCAGATAAATTTGCATAAGCAGGAAAATCATTAATGGTCCAAATTAGTGCTGCACGTAAAATGAAATTCTGTCTCAGAGATACATCATATGTTCGAACGCCTGAGGCCCACAACTCCTTTAGTTCTTCTATCAATGGTTGTAAGTAGGTGTCAATAGCATCTCCAGGACCAGTTGGACCAGGAATGAGCATAGATAAAATAAAATTAGATTGCTTCATGCACATCCATGGTGGTAAGTTATATGGTACAAGTAAAACGGGCCATATGCTATAAGAAACTTTTGAATTTGTGAAAGGTTGGAAACCATCACTTGCAAGACCGAGCCTAACATTTCGGGGCTCTTCGGCAAAGCTTTCATGTAGCTCATTAAAGTTTTTCCAAGCCTTAGAGTCAGCTGGATGCCTCATCACTCCGTCCTCAACTTGTCTTTCATGGTGCCATCTCATATCAGAAGCTGTCTTCGAAGACATGTAAAGCCTTTGCAATCGTGGCTTAAGAGGAAAATATCGCAATGTCTTTTGTGGTATTTTTTTACCATTTGCCTTTCGCTTGATCTCTTTTCCATGTTTATCAAGTTTCCATCTAGAAGCACCACATCTCTGACACGTATCAAGACCTTCTTCATTTTTCCAAAACAGCATGCAAGAGAATGGACACGAATCAATTTTTTCATATGATAGGCCAAGGTCTCGGATTAATTTTTTGGCCTCGTCATACGAATTAGGCAGTGTTGATTCCCCTGGCAATAGCTCCTCATTCAAAAACTGGAGCAACATTGAGAATGATTTATTACTCCACCTATTTAGGCTCTTTATGTGAAGTAGTTTCACTAAAGCAGATAACTTTGAACATTTAGAGCCTTCATACAAAGGTTTCTCGGAGTCACCTAAAAGACTGTAGAATTGTTTTGCATGTCCATCTGGTTCCTGCTCAAGAATATCCTGACTCGACGTGGCATCAGGTGCAACAACGCCAGTTGAATTATGAAATAAATCTCCAATCATTTCTTGCATTTCATCGTCACTCTGGCTTTCTTCTATCATTTCTTCTTGTTCTTCATCAAACTCCGAAATGGACTCACCCTGTCTTTCGCCGTGATGACACCAAAATCTGTAGTTTTTAATAATTCCATGAACAATCAAGTGGGTCTTTACCGACTCACGATTACCAGACTTCACATTGCTGCATTTAACACATGGACATCGAATTTCAAAGTCTTCATCCTTTTCATTAAAACTATCCAACAGCTTCTCATATGCATAGTCTAAAAACTGATCAACCCCTTCTTTATATTTTGGATCAAGTCTATCATCATCTACTAGGTCCATCCAATCTTTATTCGGCGCCATTTCAAGCAATGTACTAAAATTTCCTGAAAAATATTTCAACCTCTTCAAAAACTAAACACAAATAAATGCTTAATTTTATGTAGAGACTCATATGTTCAGATATATGGTCATTCTAATGCAAAGAAGTTAACCTATATATGGTGTCATTCAGAAAGTATTTATTTATGCAATTATAGGGTCAATTTAAAGGCAAAAATACTACCATATAACAAATTAGTAAATAGAACAAATTAGTAAAAAAAAAACTCATTTTCCTTTCAAAGCACATGTGACATAGGAACTATGATTATAACTAACAAAATGACTTGTTAATGGAAAGTGGTATGTCCAAGCTTGACAAGTACATCTGAATAGCTAAAGAAATAATCATTTAAAATTCATTTAACTTAAGTAAATACCACACATTTATAGGGTATATAATTGCAACATGTATAGGGTATATAATTGCAACATGTATAGGGTATATAATTGCAACATGTATAGGGTACTTTAAGCCAATATAATTGCAACATGTATATAATGATGGTCAACTGGTCTCTTCACTAATTTTGGTCGTTAAATACTAGATTTCTTGTAGCGATGAACATTTGAGTGAGCAGTCAAAAGAGCGGGGATTGAGTAAGGATTTGGACAACACGTGAAAGTGGAGATGTAGACGGAGTACGTGAATAATAGAAATATCATAGTTTTAAGAATAAAGAACTTTTGAATACTATCTTGTCTGCCATTGGAATTCTCCAAATCTAGATAATGATCATGATGACCAATGCTTGTCAATTTGTTCCAATAATTTCCTTAAGCAATTACTTATCGGTGGGATTGGTATAAGTTTTTAAACAATCATATAAATATTTTTTTATAGGAAGAATAGAATCAAAACTTATTTGCAAATTCATAAATGTTTTTTGCTTTAATTGTTACAAGGGGGTACTTAAGTGCAAAGTAGTTGAAACTATAGGGTCTGTACTAAAATCAAACAGTAACTGCAAAAATTACCTTCGAGGAATCAATTTAGCAAATTCATAAATATTTTTAAACAATCATATAAATGTTTTAAGAAATAAGAGACCGTAACTGAACAAGTTTTTAAACAATCATATAAATATTTTTTGATGGAAAGAATAGAATCAACACCTATTTGCAAATTCATAAATCTTTTTGGCTTTAATTGTTACAAGGGGTACTTAAGTGCAATCTAGTTTAAAGTATAGGGTGTGTACTAAAATCAAACAGTAACTGAACAAGTTACCGTACGTCGAGCCGCGCGATGGAGGAAGAGTTCTCGACGACGGCGCTGGGGCGGCGATGGCGCTGGGGCGGCGATGGCGCTGGGGCGACGACGACGCTGGGCGGTTCTGTGGCGTTGCTCGACGGCTACGAGATCTCGACGACGAGATCTGCAGACGAACTGAAGACGTACGACGACTCGAGACCACGACGAACTGTAGTTGACGACGGGGAACTCAAGATGACGCCGACTCTCGCCGACGAACTGGAGCCGACGAACAGATGTTGACGACGCCGACTGAACTCGAGACGGCGCGCGACGACGAGGAGCGGCCTGATCTCGAGATGACGACGGCGGTGCTGGGATTTGCTGCAGCAACGTCGAAAGGTGGGCGGACTGGGTTAGCTGCCGACGATGGGGCGGCGGGCAACGTCGGGGAGGCGACGCTGGAGCAGCGGCGGCGCTGGGATGATCGGCGGCGTGAAGGTATTGACGAAGAAGATGAAGACTTTTAGAAAATATAAGCTAGGTTAATTTATTGATATGGCGGCTGAGAGATAATTAATTAGTCAGAAGTTTGGGAATTGTAGAATACGGGTTCGGGTTTGGGGATTTGTATTGTGGGTATTGTTAATTAATAGTAATAGGTTTAACTATCATTCCTATTATGATTAGGAGTATCATCAATGATGGTGATGGAACCCTTCGTTATTCAGGAGACCCAATAACGACGGTATTAGGATTAAATTAATGAAGGGACTAGAAAACCGTTACCCATCTCACATCATTCCTATAATATTTGTAATCACTCGACGAAGGCTTTAAAAACCCGTCGTTATTACATACACATTAACGACGGTCAACTGGTCCCTTCACTAATTTTGGTCGTTAAATATCAGATTTCTTGTAGTGTTCATAAACTAGTCAATTTGGCTCTATAAAACATGTTAAAAACTCTTTAAAAATATTTTGAAAACTAGGAGGGTGATTAGTTGTAGAACCCCGTAATTTTATATGAATATATATGAATTATTAGTAAATAAATAATTCTTTTAAGATAAGTAGCTTGAGGTTATTGAAATACATGATAGCAAGTTATTTGAGATGATATGAGAGTATGGGTGTAGAGTTTTGTGTGTTGTTTTTACAAATTAGCAAAAACATGCACAAAACTAAATTTTTCCAGATCAGTCGACACATCAGTCGACTGACTGTATCGGTCGACACATTAGTCGACTGATACGCTAATTTCCAGTTTTTTAGGTTTCGGGTCTGTTTTGTTTTGGTTCGGGTTTGGGTCAGGTTTAACTCTTCGTATATATTCCCCTTCACCCGAAATCACCCCTCACATCTTTAGACCTGAGAAAACCCTAGCCCCTCTCCCCTATCTTAAATCCTAGTTTTGTTCTTGGTGATTTTGGGGGAGAACTTGGAGGATTTTCGTCGAAATCTTCACATTGCAGCAAGGGGATCCACTCTCTCTCAGATCCAGGAGTTGTTCATCACCCAGAGGCAAGTAATATCTCGCCCAACTCTATCCCTTTTGTTTTACACGGATTTATAGAGTTTAATGAGTTTTGATTTAGCCAAAAACGTATTTTTAGTACAAAGAATGAATCTTTATGGTATATGAGGTGAGGTATTGAGCATCTCAGTTTATAAAAAGACCAACAATGTTTTATAAGAGGGATCTAGGTTATTAATGTTACATGTTGGTTGTTAAAGTTATAGATTTATTGTTAATGTTATAGGTTTATTGTTATGATTACTTATTTATTATTAAGGTTATGGATTTATTATTATGGTTGCTTATTTATTGTTAAGATTAAGGAGAGTTTGTTAAGATTTTATTTCTCTCATGTGCGCCGTGGTACTATAAACTTACTGGCATCAAGAAGCCAGTAGTTGGAAGTATGTCGCAACCTCCCCTCACAAATTGGGTAAAACTGGGAGATGTTGTGGGGTCTTTGAGATTGACAACTGTTGTAGCTAAAGTAAGGAAAGCTACTATAAAGCTTCCACAGTTCCAGGGCCAAGTTCAAAGTATTAAGGGCGGTTTGCGAGGGAAGGAGCAGGAGAAGGAGAAAGAGAATAAGAAAAAAGAAGAGAAGAATAAAGAGAGAGAGAGGGAGAAGAATAAGGAATCACCTGCAGGAGACGTCGGTAGGGCACGTGGCCCAAGACGGCCTCTTCCCAAAAGAAAAGGGGAGCAAAAGATGATCTTATTTTTGAAGGATGGGTAAGCATTGTAGTAATTATAAATTATAAATATTTTTAATAATTCTTTTTTAATAATACTGTATCTGTCCGTTGCATAGACTATGCCACATAATATTGATGAAGTGATCGAGCAACACAATGAGACAGTTGATCAAATGGAATTGCCTCAGCAAGTGAGCTATTGGAAGAGCATCGTGATAATGAATCAAAAATACAAGTAGAGGTATATAAGTGAAAAGTAGATGAAATAATAGGATATATAAGTGATGTTCAGCCTACTTTTAGTATAATATTTTGTTTTTTAATGAGCAAGCAAACAAATTGAGCTGAGCAAATGACAACTGAGAAGTCTGAGGATTAACAGCTGTTTGTGTTTCCTAATTAGAGTACACATTGAGCTGGAAGAGTGTCTTCGTAGTAGTGCATATGTGCTTGTTTTTTGCATAAGGTATTAGTTAGCTTCTAATTTTCATTCTGTTATCTGATTGTTTTTGGCTTATTTCTGAAATTGAAGGATTTGAATGTCATTTGAATACCCTATTTTTTACTACTACTTAAAACTGCACATTGGTTGTCATGTTGCTTACTATTGCTTTTGGCTAAATGACACTTAAATACTCTATTGTTTTACTATCTTTGCACTTAAATACCCTCGATATTAGTAGGAAAAAGTGAAAAAAAACAAAGACTTAAGCATTTAGTTTAAATATGCACGGTATACCAAACCATTTAATGACATCTAATAAATTACAGTAGAATTTAGCAATTTACACCGCAGACTAGACTGACAAAATACAGGTGGGTTTAATAGTACCCATTCCAAATATTGCGTAGATATTTTAATGTAAAAGGTATCTTGATTGGATTGTTTTGTATGGAAAACTTGAAATAGCAGCGTCTAAGGTAGGCACATAAACATTTGGCATTTTACACTTCATTTATCTAATTTCATAAAAAAGTCAAATATATTTGAATATGAGTTTTCGGTTCCTTTTTAGGATGTTATTATGTATGCTTAATTATTCTTTTTTATTTTTTGGTACAGGAATTTGGATGCTCTTTGATTCTACTCATGGTAGTCACTTTCCTTTTACAAATTCATTTGTCCCTTCGTTATTCAATGATGATTGACTGTTTTAATGTTCTATTCTTCTTCTATTTTTTTCGCTTTTGCCTTCCAAATTTGTGACTACCTATTTTTGCTGTTGTTGTGGAGACAATTGTTTTTGCCTTACTACGTCAAATTGTGATTAATTAATTATCTCTGCTTTATATTTTGGTTGATTTCTTATATATTTGTTCGCACCATTTTGTATAACAACTTATAGTGAATGGGTACAAAAACATCTTTAGTTGATTCTTCATCTCCATCATAAGATGTCATTAAAATTGTTGAGATTTTGGGAAAATATTAGGGTTATCTCTCTTTTCATTGATAGAATTGTTGGCTTATATAGCCTTACACACACGTTTACACAAAGGCCCTCTAAGACCCGTTAATTGCATTACATTCTCAACACTCCCCCTCAAGATGGGCGATAGATATCAATCA